TCGCACTGCTTACCGTGCACCCCCAGGCACCTAGGCAACGATGTATCTGAAAAGATGGTATAAAAAGTTGCATACGACGTGATCCATAGACAACTACAGTCCAATTTTCGTATATAATGTAAAAACACGGAATTTCCCTGAAAACATTTATCGAAATATACAGCAACGCTGGAAGGTACAGTAACACGAAACACCATTTGAAAATGATATTGAATATTAAATTTTTTTTCAACGAGAATTTGCAGACCAAGCCTTATATACCCTTTTTTCATCCTTTCATGAACGTCCATGACAACTACCTGAAAACTACAGCGGGCACGATCTGATCTGTGAACCACTGCCGCCGCGCGGTAGGTCCAGCCTGAATGGTGGGAGCGCCATCCCGTTGCTCATTGAACGGCTGACCATGAATTGAGATGTCAGGAAATACCTTTCGAGTGACAAAAGAAACTTGTAAATATTTCACTTGAATCTCGCCGAGATAAGGAAGAAACTGGATGACGGCTAAGAAAATGTGTCTTACTTTTGTCGGCGTTTCTACTAATCTCTTGGGACAAGAGATTATTTGGGATGGGCATGATTTGTGCGATATTTTTGAAATTAGAGGTAGGCGGCGATGAACGACAAACATAGCAAGACAATAGTTTGGTCGGAGTGTCTCAGGTGATGGATGAAGTGAATGTAAAGATATTTTAAGGTTTGATTTGAAAGAAAACGGTATATATAGAATTCCACAAGGATTTTGTGTGAGGGATATTTATATGGTGCTAAAAACGCAGTGGGGGCTCGCAAACTTGTAGGGTCTAGTTGAGCGAAAATTGTCAAGCACTTAGGTATAGGTACCGCAGGTATCCTACAATTTGAGATGCGTCTCTCTGCTGATCTAGGTAGGTATATCCAAAAGACTACAATATATTGCTAACATGTGGTCCAATAGCCAACCAGAGACCCGCTATGAAGTAGAAGGAGGAGTTTGAAACAAAATTGAATGTAATAACGGGATCAAAGCACCAACAAAACTCTTTGAGCGCAATCAACTGGTTAAAATGATCAACGAAGTGCTCAAATCATAGTATCGGAAAATTACTGAGCTCAACGTCATTATAGACAAAATAGATTTCGGACAGGAATGTCGATCCATGTGGAGGTCAGTTCTTGTGGGCAGTAGATTAGAACGTTTTCTGAAGAATGACCCCCGCACGGATACTACGTATCTTGAAAAGTGACATTATGTCGATTCTTTTGACATTATATTTTTGTGACATTTTCTACAAGATGTTAACTTAGCACTAGCTAATGGACAGGTTGTGAACCTGTTTTGTTGTTGTACGTGTTGCCTAAACGTCTTGAGGCGGCTGCAGTTATCAATGTTTGGCTCTGATGGCATTACTGGAGGTAACGGCAATGCATAGGTGCACAGTGAGGATTTGTGTGCTAATAATATCTATTGATGATAATTCCATTGGACTCTTGTCTCAAATACACATACTTGCGACTCAAAGCTAGAAATTAGTTGCGCTTCCACTTCTTATTAACCATTCTAGAAATTACATATGCAAACTTGCTGAACTTCAAAAATGAGAGCGATAAGAAATAATTATAATCACTGTACACTGTCGAATTACAAGTCATATAACATACGTGCTAACAGTAATTACATACAATGCGGGTCCCGGAATTCTCCTCCAAGTTTTTGAAAACACGAAAAATCGTAGGAAATCGTAATTTATAACTTTGAACATAACATGTCTTCAGAAAGGGCAACATAAATTACTCGTCGGGCACAGCTAATAGATATACTTTATTGGCAGCATATTCAGTAATGATTTTGTCACACAGCAAATTTCACTGATTATATACACATGCAGACCAATACACATAATCATCCAGATGTGATCTTGCTATTCAACCAAGTTTATTCTCAGACATGAAAACTACAGACTATCACAAAACGTATGTAACCAACAATGCGTGTAGTTGAGTCATTCCTCCACAGATGGACGCTTACAACGATCCTATTGAGCAAACGTGGAATGACTGCTTTCACCCTAAAGGCTATCTAGTCTTCAAGGTGACACTTTATAGGTTTTTTTTGACGTTTTATAGGTTTCTTACATAATATCAGTGCAGGAACTCTGACAGTTGTTAAAATCTGCCAAGCAAGTTTGTAAATGCATCCATTTCTGGAAAATTTTATGTTCTTCATATCATTAAACGTTCACAAGGGTAACTTCGTCTTTAGAGATGAGACTGATAAAAAATTATGACACGTCCACATTTTTTTTCTCTAAAATCGTTCTTCCATGAGAGTTTAGAAATATAGATCCCCGCCGACTTTCTCTCAGTTATTCTACTCCCTTATCTTAGAAACTACATACGTATAGAGAATGTCAGCTTCTGCCAGCTGGCTGAAAGAGTGGTACCCCTCCACCTCAAGGGCTATCTGTCAGAATACTGCGTGATATCCGGAATGTATTTTGACAGATAGTCACGTTGCTCAAGCACCTAGTTAGGTGATTTGTCCCCAAAAGTACTAATGCCTTGCATTTGAGCGTTTTGCAACCTTCCGACAAGCATAACTCGGATCTCATAAACTGCTCCAACAGGGGATTTATATTTAGGAGATAGGTATCGACTTTAATTACTAATGAAGGTTATGATGCTTTGTGCTTCTCAGATATCGTTATTTACAGATCCTTTTGATATTCCTTGCGAGCTTTGGTGACATAGCCTATGGCAGGCTGCAGGATGCAGTCGGCAAAGTACTAGAGCGAGTAGGTGATTTAAAAGCATTGATATTGATTAGTAAGATTTAGATGGTTATCATCATGGGGACGATAGGTGCTGCAAAGTAGTATCTTGCACAGCCATGTTATGTTATAGTATATTAGAACTGAACCCTAACCTCATTGTAAATATAAAATGCCGTGGTATGTTGAGTTTGATATACGTCCTGGCCAAAGATTTTCCCAAGGAGGGAGAGTGAATAAATATTTTGATCCATCTGTATATATGATATGCCTAACAAGTGTTTCAAAACGGATATCCATCCCAGGGAAGCTACATTATTTCCCACTATATCACTATTTCTTTACTCTTTTCCTTTTTTTAATTTACTTCTACTTTATATCCTTCTTATCCATTTCCTGGACCTCACAGGGTGTACAAACTGCTAAAGAGGTGATAAATACTTCATCAACTGCCCTGCAGATGTCAATTCTGACAAATTACTGCATATGTGCATGTAATCATTCCCATTTTGTAGGTAAAAATCAATGACATTTCCAGAATAGATCTATTTATTTATCTCTTTTGCATTTGGGTGTTATCCGAAAGTGCCTGTAATAGATAAATATTTATGTCATTTCTAATCCTACAAAAAGAGGCCACACCCGTAAAAATCAATTATCCATTCTGTCAAACATACGAAAAATGACATTCCAACAAAACACCGTTTTTTACGGTACTCCCTTTAATAATTATATACCTACCTACCTTCTAGTGTACCCTGGTACCATTCACAAATCTCACAAGATCAATCTTGTTGAAGGTAACAAAAGAGTACCAACAATAGAAAACCGGAACGAGGCATCACACACTTAACAGTGTGCAAAACCTCCTGTGTGAATAGCATCGAAATTCTTTCTCTGAGGTGTTGGTACCCAGTCGTACCAGGCCTATAAACGTCTCACCTTTTGTGGCCGGTAAGTCGCGGTGGCGTCTTTTTGATCTGCTCAGGGACTAAGTGAAATATTTACTAGCCTCTATTGTCGCGCTTATATTTCTACGGGTGTTACGGAGACTGCATGTGAAAGAAATGCAGCCTTAAAGATGGGCTCGTTGCCTTTTATTTGAATTTTATCTTGATGATTTTCATATTTCGCAAATGGAGACAAATGGCAATGGAGCAGGGGCGGCTGGTCCTTAAGTTCTGCAGAGCTGCAGAACTGCAAAACTTTTGTCTTCAACAGAAAAAAGCAGTAGTAATTTAATCATTATTTATTTTCCATTTTATCACACAAATAGAAACAATACTGGCCTGCCTCCGGAAGACACGGCGTAGAGTCTGTTTTGCAGCATTACAATCGACCAATTGTGTACTTGTCATTTTCGTCGCGACCGCCGCGTAACATTATTCATGGGCCACTTGAAAAGGGTCTGTGCACTATTTCAACACAAGCCGCACGCGCTTACTTTTGTCTCTCTCTACAAAATCAAATACGCGATTTAAGCTTAAGCATGTGCTGAAATTTATGCAGATCCGTACAGATCTAATGCGAAGTACGTTATCTGATTCGTCGGTCGGTGCTCGGTCCAAGGTATTGGCATATTGGCCTTGTCGCGTGACGTGTCTTAAGATTTGAATGCGAACATTTTTTTATTCGGGTATTTTGGGTCTTACGTTGAACAACTAGTAACTCACTGACTGACTGTGGCTGTGTAGAAGGGTAGTGCAAGACAATGGATGTGGTTTACAGACTTATCAATGTGAAACGATTCTGGCAATACACATTTGAAGAAAAAATTGAGCTGAAGGTATCACAAGACATATTTTGAGCGTCGTAGATCCATTAATAGGAAATTTCCCTAACAAACTGATTCCACAAAGCTATGATGGAGCCGCGGTAATGAGCGGACATAATGCTGGAGTACAGGCAAAAATTAAACAAAGATATCCATTTGCTTCCGCAAATGCTCAAGTTCGGGTGTTCTTTGGGGATCTGAAAGATATTCTGGCATTTTTTAATAATTCTCCTCAACGCGTAGAGGTACTGAACAGAATTGTGGGGAAAAAAATTCCACAAGGAGCAACAACTCGTTGGAATTTTAATATTCGAACAATAATTGTAGTGTTTGAGAACAGAGAATCACTCATTGAATGCATGGAAGAAATAGAAGAAAAATTCACTAGTGAAACCGTTTGCAAGGCAGCTTGCGGTATTCGCCGTATGTTAAACGATTCTGTTTTCGTGTTTTGGTTGACATTTTTTCATCATGTCATGCCTCACGTCAACATCTTGTTCAACCAGTTGCAGAAGAGAAAAACCGAGCCAGCGCAAGTTAAAACGGCTATCGATAATTTTGAAAAATGTATTGACGATGTGAGAAATAAAATTGATGACATAATAAATGAAGCCAAAGTATTTGTACTGAACCCCAAGGCAACAAAAGGAGACGACGTAATAATAGCAGTCACGATCACCGAGTTGCCCCATTAGAAGTATACGACAATATAGTGAATTCTTCAAATGACAGATTTCAATTCAAAAATCATTTGGTAGCCGCATCCCTTTTTTCCCCGAATATTTTGGAGAATACTGTGGTAAGTTTCCTGATGACAAGTTGGAAACTACCTGTTTGGCTTATCCCGAATTAGAAAAAACTCGTTTAAAGACAGAGTTGTCTGTTATTTATGCACGGAGTGATTGCCGAGATTTACATGGAACTCTGTCTCTTTTGAAATTTTTGATACAAAATGGTTTGGAGGAAACACTAAAACAAACAAAAAAGCTATTAGAAATTATTGTTACAACCTATGTCGACATCAAAGTCTGAGCGAAATTTCTCAACATTGAAAAGAATCAACACCTTTTCTTCGTAATACTATGACCCAGGATCGCCTTACAGCGTTGTCGATGCTGTCCATTGGAAAGGAATTTATTTCGACCATAGAAAATTTTAACGGGAAGATGATCGACAAATTTGCTGCCAAGAAGCAGCGCAGGATCGAACTGACATATAAAAAATAGGTAAGTTCGGATTTGCAGAACACCTGTTTTATTTTGCCACGAGCCGCCACTGCAGTGGAGTATATTCCTACAGCCGACAGAAACGTTTTTCCAGTTCAAGCCTGAAATTTTGTAAGAAAACCTCGATCTTTATATAAAAATGAATCCCTATTTCGCGTGGCCACGCCATAACTTGAGAACGACTTTACCGATTTCATTCATCTTGTTTTTAAAAGTTTCCTAATGATGTATAGGGGGCTTTTAAAATGGAAGAATCAAGAAAATTGCGCAGAAAGATGGGAAATCATTGAAAACCTAATGGTGATTTAAGTTACGTGCGTTTGGCAGTTTGCTTGAGCAAGGGGCTCGCACGGCAGAAGAAATATTTCGCAAGTACCAAAAGAGACAGGCACTCCTCTCCGCCATCTGTTTTCCAGCAGCTATTGACAGTTTGCTATGTGAGAGAAAATTGCTTATGAAAACACGGTGTTTTCGTTTTTTAAACCATCTGTACTTTGTGATGGCCCGTTCAAAAGAAACTGCTGTGTTGCCTTATTGCTATCCTTGTCGGTTAACCATATGAATAAAAATGGCGGATGAAAATACGTTTCTTACGGCTAGTAATATCATAAAAAATCTATATAATATCACTTTTCAAGTTAGATAATACGATTTGTCTTTTGACAGGGGAAAGCTTTTATAGTTACTCTGAGGCAGAAAACCTAGACAGGACTATGCTGTCGGCCTTTTTACATATACGTGTATACAAACATATATACATATATATATACGAGTATATATATATACGTATATATACTCGTATATAACATGAGACGTGGTCAATGTCGTCTAACAACCAGTTAGGTGGAAAAATAAAGCGTCCGCCTTTAGTTGTCTACTTCGACGAGATTAAAGCGATGAGGACTCTATACTTTATTAGTCTCTGGCTTTCGACGGGCTATGCCATCACCTTCAGGAGCTACAATAACATTAGGAAGAAATAGCAACTATTGTGCAAAATGATTTTAAATAACTTACAATAGTATGTGAGATTGTTGCTAAATGTTATTAAAGGTTAGGCTGAAGGAAACATTTAGTAAGCTGGTGAAAGCTGGATCCATGGTACATTCGTTAAAAATGGTAAAAAACGCACACAGCTGTATGTTAGGAACACATCACAACGGATTAAAAATATTTGGAATGAAAGTTAAAATTATTAACAAATTACATGTTACATCGTGAAACAACCACTGCACAAGATGGTGTAGGGCAGGATCGTAAGTAGCATGAAACATTTGACAAACGACTGAAGGCTGGTAGTGTCAGTATCGCGCAATTAATTAGAATTTTATCCTTCAACCAGATTGGTGCTAGTGCTTAATGTTTTAAATTGTATTTGGGAACACATGGCTGTATGATAAAAACTGTATTTACGCGGATCCTTTTTTAAAAAACGGTAGAGAACAGAATTACGTTTTAGTCATGAAATACGGATGGATTGGGACAAACACTGTTGATTGAATAAAATTTCATTAAACACTTCACAAATTCACATTTTGGGCTAATCTAGAATTATTGGTGTAGTCGAGAGGTTAGGATTTATGTGTGATGTTGGCAATATTTGCAGGAAGTTGTGGTGGGGATCAATTCTGTTTGTTTAGTCTGTTACCAACATAAAGCAGAAAATGTGCAATACATTATTAAGAGAAGCGTTAGTATAAGTACAAAACGTGATAGAAAAATTTCAGATTGATTTGAATTTTTTTTTCCTATGTTTTGATGCAAATAAATAATTACCACTTGGCAAAATTGGTTGTCGTTAAAGACCTTTCATGGTGAGAAGGGCGGGAAACAAATTATTTTTTCGAAATTTTGTTGTTGTTGCGGAATATATTTTCCGTACGTGTATATTTTGCAGTCAATTGCAAACGGTGCGACGCACCAAGTGAGGCCCACAATCAAGGGAACAACGGTCGGACCTAGGAAGGTGGGTAATACGAACAGGACATTCCAATCCACGTTATATATTTCTTGTAGGGGAATAATAATCAGCATCAGCTGACGATACGCTGTGTCAGACCTACTCGAGCGGCGTCACGTAAGCCGCCGTAAAGACGTCGGGATGAACTATAAGGTGTGTTTATGATTTATGAACTGGGTTTCGTAGTAGGAAAGCAGTGCCAAGTAGATAGATTTTCGATTAATAGGAGAACGCGATTTTCATCCAACATTAAAAGAGAAGCTCTTTCAGATGAGAAAGTTTTGAGACAGCTACTAATGACCTTGCGCTTGGCAAGTAGCACTTGCTAAATTGTTACTACAGAGAGCGTGAGCGGGAAGTTCGTTTAAGAAATCCAAGAAACACATTTTATACAAGGAAGTTTTGAGACTGCCCGCAACGAACTTGCGGCTAGATGGTAAAACTTGTCCCTTTTGGGTTATTATCAGAGAGGAGACCTTTCTGTGAGAAATGTGCTTTTATACTAAACTTAAATGTGTAAGAGATGTTTGACAGATCCGATTTTTGAGCTCTTCAAGGTCACTAAGCTGGGAAAAACTAGGATCAACCTTACCGGCCAATTCTCGATGAACGGTGTTCTTAGCAGTTTAAATGTGTAATGGAAGTGTGACTGGTTTGTCTGGTAGGATTAACGTGAGGCGGCATCATGATAGTCTAGAAGAGGGTTTCCTAACCTTTTTTTTTTGTTGTGGCTCCCCGGAATATAAATTATACTTTCATGCCCCCCCCTTACTTTTTTAATACATACAAAAAACGCACATTATATGGGTACAAAGACATTTATTCTAATTCTGATAAAGAAACTTTAAAAGCTTAAATAAACTAATAAATGTTTTTTATCGAAAAACTTGAACAAAATAAGAGTAGGTACTAATGGGACACTTGAGATTGCATGTTCTGCACCAGTTGGTTAATTCTAGGTTCTGTTTTTGCTAGAGCTATCATCAGGTCGCTATCGACATCAAGACGATTTCGCTGTTTAGTTTTAATTAAAGCTAGAGCAGAAAAGCCTGTCTCACATAAGTAAGTTAAAAACAAGGAACTAGTATTCGCAAAGCAAAAGAGGCAAGTGTCGAATTAATAGGCAATCCTTTGATCCAAAATTTCTCTAATGTTAAAAGATGGAAGCCATATTTCATAGACGAATCAGCTTTCATTTCTAGAAATCCTTCCTGAACTTCTTCTGGTAATTGTGACACATCGTCAACAAGTGGCTTTCTTGTCATGTGCCATATTGGAAATTCGTCTTCCAGTGCTTGAAAATGAGTTTTTATGTCAGTATGTTATTTTTAGTTGCCTTGAACAGCCAAGAAAAAGATATAACATTTTCGGAAGACACTTTCTAATTCCACAGTTGAAGCTGTGATATGAACCCCTGAATATAATCATAATAAATTACTTATTATAGTGTTGTTTCTGCCCTGAAGTTTCATGTTTAGCTCATTCAAGGAGTCAAATATGTCAGTTAAATAAGCCAACCTCCATTGAAATGTGCCATCTTTGAACACTGTTAATAAATCGTGTTTTTCTTTGAACTCAAGAAAAAGAATTGCCTCTTCTTTCAATTCATAAAGGCGAGCCAACATGTTGCCTTTGGACAGCCGGCGTACTTCTGTATGGAACAGAAGGACTTTGTGATCAGAATCGAGATCCTCGCAAAGTAAAGTAAATAACCGACGGTTCAAAGCGCTGCTCTTGATTTAGATTACAATCCTTATAGCCGAGTCCAACGCCAGGTGTAATTTCTGTGGCAATGTTTTGGAAGCCAAAGCTTGCCGATGAATAACACAATGTGTGCTAACCATTGTGGGCTTTTTTCCTGGACCTTTTTAGCTAAGCTTGATCGTACGCCTATCATTAAAGGTGCGCCATCAGTGCACAGCCAATGAGTTTCTTCCAATAAAAACCATTTTTTTTTCAACAGAACTCGATATTGAATTAAATTTATCTTCAGATGTAGTACCTGCTGTCAAAGATTGGGAGTACAAAATCTCTTCTTGAGTGATATCTCCGCCGATGTAACGAACATAAGCTACTAACTGTGCACAATTAACGATGTCGATGAATTCATCGCAACTAATGGCGACAAATGGCGATAATTTTACTTTGTTAATTATTTGTAACTTTATGCCTGCTGCATCAATTCTACGCTTGACTGTGTTATTCGAAAGAGAAATAGACTTCATTTTTTGCTCTGCATTTTCTTCTAAAATTATCTGCGTGGCTTTTAGGACACATGGTTTTATTAATTCTTCACTGATAGTATGAGGTTTGTTTTGCTTTATCATAAAAGCTATTTCAAATGAAGCTGCGATACACCTGGGTAACTTTTCGATTTATTCAGTCTCATCCGCAAATGCCCTTCAAGGCAATTGGGCCACATGCTATCATTACTTAAAACTTTCATACATATCACACACTGAGGAAATTGTAACTCGTCTTTCTCTATGAAGGTAAATCCAAACTTAAC